TTTTTTTAGGGAAAACCGGATCTGAACACGACGCTTCCCATCCGGCAAACGGCCTCGATTTTTAAACAACCCGTCACCAAAGTCACCAACCACCCCTCCAACAAGGTCAGGTCGGATCCCCAACGGATCACGGAGCAGCCACGCCAGGTATTCCCAAAAAATTCCCGGGAATTCCCAAAAATTCCCGAAATTTTGGGAAAAAACCCGCAAAAATCGGGTGAAAAATGTGATTTTTTGGGGATTTTTTAAGGGTTTTTTGGAGGTAAAGAGGGAATTTTGGGAATTTTTTGGAGTTGGGGTTAAGGGGGGATGGATTTGTGGTCGGGAATTCCCGAAAATTCCTGGAAATTCCCAAAAATTCCCAAAATTTTGGGAAAAAAACCCGCAAAAATGGGGTGAAAAATGTGATTTTTGGGGGGATTTTTTTAAGGGTTTTTTGGAGGTAAAGAGGGAATTTTGGGAATGTTTGGGAGCTGGGATGGATTCAGGGGTGGGAATTCCCAAAATTCCGGGAATTCCGGCGGAAATTCCCGAAAATTTTGGGAAAAAAATAGCAAAAATTGGGTGAAAAATGTGATTTTTTGGGGGATTTTTTGAGGGTTTTTTGGAGGTAAAGAGGAAATTTTGGGAATTTTTTGGAGTCGGGGTTAAGGAGGGATGGATTTGTGGTTGGGAATTCCCGAAAATTCCTGGAAATTCCCAAAAATTCCCAAAATTTTGGGAAAAAAACCCGCAAAAATGGGGTGAAAAATGTGATTTTTGGGGGGATTTTTTAAGGGTTTTTTTGAGGTAAAGAGGGAATTTTGGGAATTTTTTGGAGTTGGGATTAAGGGGGGATGGATTTGTGGTCAGGAATTCCCGAAAATTCCCAGAAATTCCCAAAAATTCCCAATATTTTGGGATAAAAATCAAAAATTGGGCTAAAAATTGGATTTTTTTTGGATTTTTTAAGGGTTTTTTTGAGACAAAGAGGGAATTTTGGGAATTTTTTGGAGTTGGGGTTAAGGGGGGATGGATTTGTGGTTGGGAATTCCCGAAAATTCCTGGGAATTCCCAAAAATTCCCAAAATTTGGGGAAAAAATGGCAAAAATCGGGCGAAAAATGTGAATTTTTGGGGATTTTTTTAAGGGTTTTTTGGAGGTAAAGAGAGAATTTTGGGAATTTTTGGGAGTTGGGATGGATTTGTGGTCGGGAATTCCCAAAATTCCGGGAATTCCCACAAAAATTCCCGCTCGAAATCGCAAATAAATTAAAATAAAATCGATTTTTTACCCTGGATTATTCCCAAAATTTCCCCATTTAACCCCAAAAATCCGGGATTTTTCCCGGAAAATTGAACCTTTGGGATCTTCCACTCATTCCCATAATATTCCCAATCCCTGTTTTCCAGCTTTTTTGGGAAAAGAGGCTCCAGGGCCTGAGCGCTTCCGACGTCAGCGAGCAGATCATCAAATCCATGGAGCTTCCCAAGGGATTGCAAGGTAATTTTTCCGGGAATTTTCTTGGAATTTTGGTGCCCAAAAATCAGATTATTTTCCAAAAAAATTCCCAGAAAATTCCAAAAAAATTCAGGAGTTTTGGGCTGAAAATTCCCCAAAAATCAGATTTTTTTTTCCCCAAAAAATTCCCAGAGAATTCCCCAAAAATCAGATTTTTTTTCCCAAAAATTCCAGGAAAATTCCCCCCAAAAATCAGATTTTTTTTCCCAAAAATTCCCAGAAAATTCCCCCAAAAAAATCAATTTTTTTTCCCCCAAAGATTCCAGGAAAATTTCCCAAAAGATTCAGGAATTTTGGGCTGAGAATTCCCCAAAAATCAGATTTTTTTTCCTCAAAAATTCCAGGAAAATTCCCCCAAAAATTC